GTAGTTTTCAAGCGGTGGTGTTCTGTATTCACCCCAATCTTTATGGTATATCTTTGTGCTCAGCGGAATTAATGTCAGGTTTGTATAGATTGACTGCAATGCAGAAACTTAGCTGAGTCTTTGATTTTACCGTCTGTGTAACTGTTGTGAGCATCTGCAGCAGCTGCACTTCTCAAACCGTTTGCTGAACCAAATTGAGCACAGTGACAAAGTAGTCATCTCAGGCTCTCTATTAAACAGAGAGAGGGTGGAGCAGCTCTCTGTACATCTGCTGCACACATGGCGCCCTACAGAAGGACCCAAGATAAAATAATTGTCGAAAATTTCTTCATTAAAACCTCAGCAGTTCGCACTTGTTTACCCGAATCTGCATAGCTCCCCAATGAGACAACACACTTGGGGTTTCTTCGGTTCCCGCTCACTTTCTCTTTGATCCTTTTTGATGTGCTGACTTTAATAAACATAGTCAAAAACGCTGTGCAAGAACATGGTGGAAAAAACTACAAAGGAACAGCTCCAGCGGCAGAGCCCTGCTAATCCCTAACTTACACGGGCTATTTTTAGAGAAATATTTTTTTAACACTCTTTATGTGACAATGTTACATAAACAGGGGAAAGCAGTCCTTTCCAGATGAATTTTAATTTGAGAGCTGCAATAGATTTGTAATTCTAGAGGAATCCTATGTGCTAAGTAATTCTTAGAGAAACACCATTGGGAATGTGCTGTGGGCATGTTCCCTCACTTGTCAGGAGGACAGAAAAAAAATGAGTTTGCCTAATGATTTTTTTTTTTTTATCGTCTACGCTGTTAGAAGCTTATGGAAAGTATGTGTGGGGAAGGGAGCAATAAAGGCTTGAACAAGAAAGCCGATGTTTTCTCCCAAGCATCTTTGTCAGTACATCTGTACAACCTCCAGTCTTTCCTAGTCATTTGCTCATTTCAAAAATGAATAGTTTCAAATTATTTACTGAGCTTGTTAAAAGAATCCCATCTTCACTTTGCAGAACAAAGTAAAATAGTTAAATGCTTTCTGCCTACAGAAAACAGTCACACAAACCACCCAGCTCTCCTCGGAATCCTGCGCCCTGGCGGGCTGGGTCTTTCAAGGGGCTTGGTCTCGGTGTGGGTCCACTGTGCTAGAAAACCTGTGTTTTCTCGTATGTCTTTAATGAAATGGGCCCTTGTGGTCTGACTGTAGAAGATGCAATGCTTTTATTCTTTTAACTTGGTGTATGCTACAGGAAATCTTACAGATGCTTTACCAGTGAGAAGACAAATCTCGGCTAGAAATTTGTATCTTACATTCTGAAACATTTTAAGGCCAATAATATTTCCGTGTTATCAGTTAAATCTGTCCCATTGTAGAGTGTGTTCTCTAAAAGTTGCCACTCCCCCCGCCCCACACAGGCACACAGTGCGGTCCCCAAAGTGCTGTCCCCTTGGCCGTTTGAAGCATTGTCATTTTGGAGACGCATGAAGTATGTAGCTGTAAATCCTGACCTGGCAGCAAGTCTCTTTCCACAGGAGGGTGGGGATTGATCTCACCCTGTGGCTCCCCTGACTGAGTAATTTATGGCTCTGTTAAGATGGCATGCCTTAGATTTCTTTAAACAAGAGTACACAGTTAAGAGCTCGGAAACCCCTGGACTCAGGTTGCCATTCTCTTTCTCCGGGGTAATTAAATTGGCAACCTCCAAATAGATAAAGAACAGGGAGACACAGCACTGACAGTTTGTTGACCCACGGGGGAAGAACCAGGGTGAAGCCATTTGGTTGACATTTCGAATGGAGAAACCACTGACAAGACTCTGACCATGGGGACACTGAGGGTTTCTCTCCCAGGCAGAGAGCATCGAGTTGGCTTAGTCACCTTCCCTGCCCTTGCTGTACTTAACATTGAATATAAACACAGAAGAGAGAGAGAGAGAGAGAGAGAGAGAGAGAGAGAGAGAGAGGGGAAGCACAGCCCACGCAAGAATGGCCCCCTTCCTGTTCA